GTGATAAATGAATGCAAAAGTCTTTAGCTCCTCATAAATTTTGAAGTTTTGGTCGTACGATGAAAGTCCAAGAAACGATCTAGAGATCTTCAAAATTTCTCCTTGCGATCTTCATCCAATTGTGCAAGAAATTACGAAAGATAAATAATTTGTTATCCTAGAGTCTACTAGGACTTGCAGGAAGTTGGATCGAAAGAAAATGTCTCTATCTTTGATCTGAACGACTGGCTATATGCACAATGGGCTCGCCAAGTTTCTCATTAATTACAGCAACTTTATAGGCTCCCACTAGATTTTTTGGCGATGTTAATTCCTAGAGTGAGAGGAATATCACTCGATGAATTAGTTAAAGATTTATTGCATGTCTAATCCTAGAAAGCCTTTCGTACTTTGGAAAGCTCAAACGCTGCTGCCATCTGACATCATTTTGAAATGTTCCAATATAAATTTACGCGACCCGGAAGTGAAGGACAGTAACAATCTTTAACCTTTACTTTGACAAATTGTTCCCCTACCCATCACATAATTTGGACCTACTAGTGAGTCACAATATAGTTTCCCATTTCCTGTAAATGATAAGGACTTCTGAACAGAGAGGTGCCAAAGCAGGGGGACTAGCAGCACCGAGTGGTATAGAAAAGCTTTCTAGGAGTGAGCACGAGAGCGACCAATCAAGCAGATAAGCTTTTTATTCTCTTTTTTTACTTCTTTCAACTGGTGATAAGTTTGAGACCAATGAAATCATACAATTGAACTTATCAAGCTAATTTGATCACAACATCGATCGAGGGTCATTGGTCATGGTTTGTTAGACGCTATTTTATGAGGTGGAAAGAGCAAGGTGCTTGGGCCTAGGGCTCGGACGTCGCGCACAATAGTGGACAGGTTTATATGAATAAAGGCTTATTACCTTGGATTTTTTTGCCAGTCCCTCATGAATAGACAGCGCCTTGACGAGTTGCTACACTTGGCCCGTAAGAGTTTCTTTGTTATCGGATTAACGCGAGAAGGATTTACCATAATTTTCCAACACTGCTCGGTCGTTCTTTACCCAATCCAGCAGGTCCATGTATTTTGCCGCTCTTCGTTGCAGCGGAATCTTCAAGGATTTGGTCAAAAGTACCTCGTTGTCTATTGAGTCTTAATGTCATCATATGCCTGTGCTTGGGAAGTGACAACGATTCGACTAGGCGACGCAAAGTTTTCGGGATTAGCTAGAGGTAGATTAATTAGTCACACAAGATCTACTTACAACCGGAGGGTGATTCAAGTGGATAGCAGCATGGTTGTAGTAAGGGGTAAGATCAGGGGAGTTCTAATAATGAGTGGATTGAGTATTTCGACTCTGGGCAAATGATAAAGTGCAGTTGAATAGTATGTCAGAATCAGTTACCCAGTCGCCAACTCCACAATTTTGGAGTTTATAACTTGATTGGGCAAAAGTGGGTGCCCAGGGGCTTTTAATAGGTCTGATATAGTAGCGCATGCCTATTCCATGATGTACATATCTGGCTTCTTAGTCTAATGGTGTAGTATACGCCGGTATAGCCAAGCCTTGAACAAAGTCCATGCAGTTACCTTCGACATACTCTTCCGCCAGGGATAATATGTCGGTTTCTTTTCATGCACACAAATCTGCCTATGTGATATATCTATTAAACAATGTCGCTAGAATAGTCCTGAACTTAATGGTTACAGCCTAACCTACATTTAGAAGTAGAGGCTTGGGTGTATGTGCAGCCCACGATCAACTAAACTCACTTACGCGATTATCATGCCTTCAAACTATCCGCAGAGCTAAGTCGTATGATAAGGTTCCATATGTTAAGTGGATATTAATTCGTATGGTAAAGACAATTTGCAGTGAGCCCAAGCTACCAGGGCACCTGTGTACTCATCACTCATCATCAGACACTCAAGCCCGCTCGATGGTCTCGGCGCACGATTTCATGGCTATCATCGTAAGAATCCTCCACCATTCGTCACAATGGCGGGACATAGCCATTTGCAGGAGTATGTATCTTGTGCCCAATCATCACATTGGATTATTCGACCTTACTGGTTATTAAAGTCTCAAATGAATAATCTAGAGAGTGGGGTGGTATTGCCTCGTTTATCACTGATTGGTTGATCAGCATATTCGTGACATTTGCGCAGCTATTGATGGCGTGATAGTGATAAAAGTTATTTATGGGCTCCCTGTGATTGCCTTCTAGACGGCGACTCATGAACATCTCGAACATGCTATGAATAGTCAAGCACTACACTAGTTTATCCACCCCATCGTTGATGGAGCGCGGGCGCAAATGAAACTAATGCGCTACACAATATACACCGCCATCCTCTATTTCGCAAAATAGTAGTGTTAATGTCTTTTTGGCCCCGCCTCACGACGCAGGGCCTAGCCGAACATGGCCGTCTGGCAGGGCAAAAGGAACTTTGACTCAACACAATCTCTTCCTAACGGAGAACTTTATTGAATTTACGATGGTGCGTGTCAGCGAGCAGTCTATCGGTTCACAGCGATTTGTGACAGAATTCAGCGAATCTTCTACCCTAGCAACACATATGACGAACTTGCATCAATTCAGCGCCTTTCTTTTCCCATTAAATTTCGGATCGCCGAGAATGTAACCGCGTGAGGCAACCTTGGGATCCGGAAACAGCGGGATTAGGCCCCTTTGGTGGCTGTCGTACACGGATGGAGCTCTGTTTGGGTAATTTTAGATCCGCGACATGCGACCACCATTCCCGCTATATGATGTTCAGCTAGAGTTCATGGTCGCAAGGCGAATTCTCCTCTGACGCCGGACAGTGGGATCTAAAAATGTGCCTGGCTCTATATTCGTTTTTAGATTTGGAGGACTGATATTCTTTGGAAACACGAGCATGTAGGACGATGGTGATCTTCTCGTCATGCCATGACCACTAACTAGGTGCAGGGACTGTGCTAAGTGCTGTGGAAATTATTTTTCCATTTCGTCCTTGCAATTTAGCCTTTGTCAGACTGCGCGCAAATGGTCCCCATCGTTTGTCTTCCGTCATGTCGGCGGGGCCCCGCAGGTTAGGAGATACGATAAGGAACACACACTCGTTCCACCCGTCGCGGTATTATCATGAAAATTATTCTCTCGAGTAACCCGTGGTTTTTAGCAGGCTAAGACTAGGAGTTACCAATATACTGCTAGGGGCTTGGCCGAAGTGTGACAGACTCTGCGTATATCCAAAGTTAGCGCTTTCCGAATCTGTCAGAAATCCCCGAGCATCACCAGCGGTAATCAGTAGGAGCGTTAACTACACAGCTAACTGGATTACACAAAAACCTACTTGGAAATGACTTTTCTGCAGAGTGTAATGGATCGCTATTTATGTCGCCCGTTGCTACACTATCGGATACATACATATCTGAGCCAGGGCGTCGTAAGACAATGGGTCAGCAGAATATCTCTTAAAAACTGATCCACCAACAGCATTTGCATTCATTGATGGCCCAAGGAACGCGCTTGATCTTCTTACCCAATTTGATGGTAGGTGCAGGCCGGGAGGTCCGATTGCTACCATCTAATACGGGATCAAGGTGTCATGTTGAAAGCTTTATGCTCCAGTGTACTACCTGTCCTTAACTTCACTGGGCTGGATCACACAGGAACTTGGCGAAAATGCTAGCAGAGAGCCCACATTGGCCAAAAATAGTTTTGGTCTCGGATAAGATGCACGATCTCATGGAGGAAGAGTGTGTGTACGTGTGCGCTGAATTAAAGCAAGCACATGGGCCTGAGAGCACCCCACATTGCTAGGGTCAAGTTTGCCTCTCGGCGTCTCTTACGGCTAGGATCTGTTGCTCAACAAGTCGTGCCGGAATGACTCCCGTCGAGAAATACAATAAGCCCATACGATCAGACAGTCTCCTCACAAGTCGCATAAGCCTAATGAGACTCATGACCTTTTTACGCCCACCGCTCACGCACCGGCTGAGACAAATTTCTGGATACCTTGTGGGTCAAGGCACTCGTGGATGCGATGAAACACACAAGAACGACAAATAATCTGCCTCGATGGTCTTGTAAACCATATATCAATATTTGACCAGTGGGCATTAGTGCTCATATAGATGGTACCCTTTCGGTCATAGCCGCTGTAAAGACTGTAAATGACACGGTTAACAGTACAGCGGTTACTCTTCTGTGATACACTGTAGCCACTTTCAGGGCACTATGGTTCGTTCTGATTTGGTATCCAAACCCTATTTCAAATCACGTGATAAGTGTGCTGCACAGCGCGGGAGAGTGTAATTATATGCCGGGATGAAACTCGAGGCAATAGAGACACAAGATTAGTATCATCCGCATAATTATCTAGTAGAGCACCTATTAACCTGAGTTTGTGACCGCAGAGCATCGTCCACGGGGGACGCCAGCATTTGCTTTTGTCGATTCAGTTCTGCTCACCGGGCGGCTCGTGTGATTGGGATCCGAGCGAACGAGGATGCACAGCTATTGGATTTTCTTACTGGCCACCCCTAGCCCGTTAGCCACATTGATTGGCTACAACAAAATATAAATCATTTATGATGAATATTGGGGATGAGGAGAAGGCATATCCTAACAGATTTAGAGAGCCTTGGATGGCGGAGTTGCGGGCGGTGTGTCTAATGGCTGAAGATACGAGAGAGTAGGAAGTGCGAGGTACGAGGGCGGGTTGCAGATTTGGTCTCGTCATGACGACTTAGAAGGGTAGGGGGATAAGTCAGGAGCTGACGGGGTTAGAGGATGTTCGGCAAGGGTCTATCACGGGGAGCCGAGGCAGAGATATAGACGCATTGATTCGCTTGGGTTATAGCAGCAGTTGGCCCATCATGGGCCTCGAGCCTGACAAATTTTCACCGCCATGTGAATGTGCGCAGGAGATGCGGTGGCCGTATGGAAAGGGATCTCATTCCCGGAACCCGCGCCGGTCGCCTCGTCCTTGCCTCTTCTCCCCTCCACAGTGGCCGTCTCTCCCTAAACGGCCCTTGGTAGTACACATCGGCCGCTTGGCTCAGAGGCCACACGCGCTTGCTCGGGCATTCTGCCTGGCTGACAAAGCGGGCCCGATCTAAACACCGGCCAGGCGATGTTGGTAACTCGTCTGACCCTCCGCTGCCGCTGACAGCCGCGCGAGGGCGCATACACTACGCTCTTCATGAGGATCAGTGGAAAGTTGCAGCTGCGGCCGACGAAGGTGTAGTATCGCTCTTTGACCATTTCTGATCGTGGGCCGGACAAAGGATAAAGGGGTAAACTGGGAACACAACGTTTAGCCGTACCCACCTCCCACGAACTCTGTCTCAGTGCAATAGTAGGATACGAAGTGTATAGATAATGAAATCGGGCGCCAAGTCTAGGCCGCGAAGTTTTGACTATGAAGTGCCACGATTTCGAAATTGGCATGAAACCGAGGAAAATCCAAAAATTTGAATCGTGAATATTTTGTTGTTGCACTAGCATGCAGATATTATGTGATAGCGGTCCGGCCTACGTGAGTCTGACTACAGAAACATGACAGATTTGATGCACCTGTGGCGACTGGGCTTAGAAACTAAGCAAAGGGTTAGCTCGTAAGTGTCGAATGTGCCTGCTCACCTCAATAACCGCTTACTCGATGGACTCCCTTGTTGGAATCTGCTGAGGATAAGAAAGCTTTAATATGGGTAAGTCAATATCCTCGCGACCATGATGTTCGGAGCACTACCGCCATCCGGAGCCTAAACCCAAGCCACCACTGTGAAATACTGCAACGTTCATCTGCTACTACCTCTCTCACTAAGGCAGAAATTAGATTAGGGTAGACGCCAGAGGATATTACTTCAGTTGGCATCAGTCCATATTTCTGACTGTTTAGAGACGGAAATAATTAGTAGCATCATTACCTACCGCACCGACATGATCTTCAGCATCAGACCCATGGACTTAGCATGAGCATACGAAATGCCCCCTGCTGATGTATCATTGTAGCCTAGGACTCCGCAGCGCAATTTTAACCTCAGCTCCCACGCGTGCCCTTTACGTTCTGGATCGTGATTACTGTAGAGTTTCTCAAAGTTGTTCGTAAAGAGACCAGCTTCACCGACGTACTTCGTCTCGGAAAGATGGCATTCACCTTAATTTCTGCTCGTCTCTTGTGTTATCGACAAATTCTTCAATCGCCTGCGTGAGACTAGGGTCACAGACTGATGTTCGATCAACATAGGGTATAAAATAATAGATTTTTTTGCACGTACGGAGATGCGATAATATGGATAGACTATTGATCGCTGTGGCGGTGGGTGACCGAGTCCTGGCAAAGGGAGATGCATTTGAATTGTGCTTTGCAAATGTGGCAACATGCCGACGCTGTCTCGGAAAAGTGGCTGAGTAGGCCGGGGACAAGGATCGGCAAAAGTTTAGAGCTAGAGATGTAGGCAGAAGTAGGTATGAAGGTATTCGTCATTGCGGTGATGGACAGAAGAATTGGTGTCCGGTGCAGGCGGGGAAGCGAGGTTTAAGGATTGATCCCCGACTCTCACTTTGGCTTGCGAACCAAGCCTGCACATCCTCAGCCGCGCTTCCTCCTCGAGGCCGACCGAGTTCTGGTCTGCTGATTGTAGTCACCTGACATCAGGAGTACCTGCATGCCTTGTCTTATGGGCTGCGACTTTCTTGGTTGTTTTTTTATCGGGTGGGCGGGCGAACGATCGAAAGTATGGGATAGTGGATCGTGCACCAGCTCAGCACGCAAATGCAGAGACCAGCCATCGGTATCCGCCCACCCCTCACGTACGTTTCGACAATTAAATTTGACCGAGTCCCGTGATCGAAAGCGTAAAAATGCTCTCACGCGTGGGCATGGGCTAGACTGGGGCCGCGGTGCATTCCGATTCGCTCGCTCGCTCGCTGGGGATGGGGAACTCTCGGATGCGAGGTGTTTCACGAGACTCACCTGAAAAGCGATTGCTCAAGGTTCGCCTGTTGCCATAATTGATGGTAGCGGTGGAAGTAAAGGTGGTTATGGCAGTATTAGCGGTGATCCTACGCCCCTACGCTAATCAACATTAGTTGCCGAACCATTGTGATGCTCACCAAAACTCTGCGACAGAGGGCTCATCTACCTACTGCTATTTGCATCCCCTAGCGGCAGCAGCCTCAGTGCACCACATAATTACGGCTAAAGGGGCATGTCAGCCCTGAGCCGCATCCGCTACCACCAGCCGCGCCGATTAGAACAGTTACAGCAGCAGCGCGTAGTCATGGTGCTGTGCTCAGCCGCACGAATTTGGTATCGTATTGCCTCGTCGCCCTGGACACGACGGCAATGGCAACAGCGCTCTTGTTCTCTCGAGTTTAAGTCTGACTGTGGTCACGCAAGGCCGAGACGCTTTCGTTGGCACTTGGCATATTGGGCTTGAGGCTTGAGACTCCACCGTGCGACGGTCTTTGCCGGCTTGTAATTGCAACCATTGGAGATGGATATTGCTGGTGCCCATCCAATTCAGACTCTCGTAGAATAGGAGGCCAGAGCGTTGGCTGGATCTCTGTCCGCAACAAGCCCTCCTACCCACCCTGACCCTTTTGTCAATCCGCGCCCTCTCGCCGTCCTTTCAAGCCGGTGTGGACGCGCCTCCAACGTTGTCTTGACCCACCGGCATCAATATCTGGTCTCCCCCTGGACAACAAGCAGCCGAGCAAGAACTCTCGTCGGAGCTTCGGACTCACCAACTCGCTCACCCTCACTCTGCTCTCAGTTCTGGGTGGGCCGCGCAAAGTGACCGGCCTTGGAGGCTACATCAGGGCTCACTCGGCCTTCTTGCACTCTGTTGCCAGCATTACGAGGCGGACAGTCGAGGCTGAAGTCTTAGGACTAGCTGCGCACTTGGGATTCGAGCCTCATGAGCTGACGAGCCCTTGCATGATCCATCTGCAATCCGTGGCACAGCGCAGGCTGATGGAATTTGATGAGTAGAGTGTTTGCTAGTTGCGACCAGGCAGCGGAGGCGTCTATGTTAACTGGTATCACATTTGTGCGATACAGCAGCTCTTGCTGCAATATGACATTGGTGTTGATGGCGAGGATGATGCCCGAAGTCCATGCCGCCCTTCAAACCACCATCCCTTCCTCCCCCCTTTTCCTTTCAAGCCCCTTCCCTCCCTTGGTCAAATTTTAGATTTCTTTGCTTTCCCATTCATTGTCCTCTTCCCATCTCTGCTCCCCTTTGCTAACTTTCTCTTTGCTCCACCCCTCGCAGTCTCGCCAAACCCGATAACGACCCCTCCCCTCCCTCAACCCAACCACCACGAAAGTTGCTGGCCATGCCATGCAGGGGGCTTGATGGGTCGGCGTTGCTTCTGCCATGAATAGAAGGAAAATCCAAACTCTTGGGCCTCGCTCTAGCTCGGGTGTCGATGTGTATTTGTCATTGTTTTGCTTACCAGAATCAGACTCCTGACTGAAATAGGGTTGGTCGGGTTACCGTGGTCGCTCTGTTTGGTCAATGTTGTCGATTCTGGGCATGTCTCGTAGCCTCTCTCGTACAGTTTCATTCCTTTGCTTAGGTCTCCCTCACCCCAAACCGCTCACGTCAAGGGCTCTCTACCCCATCTGAACCCATCCCGTGCGAATTCTCACAGTACCACTTGGTGAACCCTGTACGCAGAGCGCTTATCCTCGTCCACAGTAGTCGGCGGCGGCCTGTGACATCGACCGGACCCGGGACATCTTTATTATGGATGTCTTGTTGTAGTCGATCTACCCTCGCCATCATGCTGGATCATAACACGATTAACCAGTCTGTTCTTTGCAGATATTCCATTATTAGAGATTGCAGTCCCGCTTCTAGGCATAGTCGTTTGTACCTGCCACACCCACTACTCTCTGATACTTTTCTTTTTAACAAATCAGCTATTCGCATCTGCTTGCTTCGTCGTAATCTGTTGGCACACTTCATTAACACCCTTCGACCCACCTACATACTCTTCAATCTTCACCCGACCTTGGCCATATGCTCACGCTCTGCCCACTGTTGCTCGTCTCTCATCCAACGTTGCCTTCATGGCCATTCGACACGAAGCCTCCGGACACCGCCGAATATCTCCACATTAGCAGCTGCACATTGACACAAACTTCGCCCAAGCAAGTCCTGTAGAGATTTCTGCGTAAGCAATAGAAGCGGCTACAAACTGTCATTCTATTGACGTCTGCCCAACAACACCGGTTTCCTCACCTTCAACGCCTCATCAATCCGTCTACATCACCCCACTCGACCCACTGTCAATAAGTACAGTATTCACTCTTGGAAACGACTGGCTAGCTCCTTCCCTAACGGTTGATTCACTTCAAGTACTCGTTTTCCAATCTACACTTATCGCAAACTTCTCAGCGTTGTCTTGATGTATCGCGTCGCCCCAAAACCTTCTCCAATCGATTTAAACCAACTCTCATTACATACAAATTACGACCCACATGCCAGGGAAGCAAACCGCTCAGGTTACAAGATATCAATTGCGCCAAGGCATACCGGCAGGGAAGGACTACACACTCCTCCTGCCGACGATATGTCAATGGCATACTCCCTCTCTCAATTTGATGAGCAACAACTATGGCCAAAGTATCAAGCACAAGTAGCTAATGTATCACACAAGGCTCCTGCTTATGGTGATCCATCTGGATTCAAGCGATCATATGCTACTCTTAGTCTCCCGCCACTAGAAACAGGCACTAATCTACCCCGAGAAATCACCCAAAGCCAGACTCTAGTGCCTCAAACTCACCCAATTCCGTCAAACGTTTCTCGACGCAAAGGCAATGGAAATGAGCAAACACAAGCAAATTTAATTATACCGATTTCGATAAGTCCTGAGGGCGGGAATCTTGCAGATTTTGCAGCACAGGTATTTCATCTACTCATATTTTCTTGCACACTGCTAACTAAACTTAGATAACCTGCCTGTTCTGGTTTGAATCAATTGAAATCCTCAACGAAGCTGAATGCATGACTCCCAGTTTATCGATACAGGCCTTCCGTCCAGAGGCTTTACCGACAAATAGCTTCAGAAAATGGGTAGCTACAATTCTCTCAACCACCCAGGTGACGGATAAAGTCATAGTACTTGCTTTACTATTTATTTATCGCCTCAAAACCTACAACCCTACTGTGAAAGGAAGGAGTGGAAGCGAATACAGGCTGTTAACCGTAGCGTTAATGTTGGGTAACAAATGTAGGCTTATTTTCTGGGGGTTGAGCTCAATGCTAACCTAAACAAGTCCTCGACGATAATACGTACACCAACAACACATGGGCCGAAGTGTCTGGAATTTCTGTGCAGGAAATACATGTAATGGAGGTCGAATTTTTGAGCAACATGAGATATAGCCTTCTTGCTTCCAAGGAACAATGGGATGAATGGCATCAAAAGCTGCGGAGGTTTAAACACTATTGTGATGAGTCCAACAGAGTACCTTTAATGCAATACTCTCTACCGCCCATGCCCTCGCCGCCTGAGTCAACTCGAGCCCTAACGCCACCTACTCATCAGATGCAGCTACACATGTCCACGCCAGGAATTCAGTGGTCCGCTCCTATTGGCCTGACTCCTTCTGCCTTTAATTCTGTACAAGGATTCCCCCGAAAAAGAAGTATTGAGTATGCATCCGACGAGCCGCCATGCAAAAAGATATCTCGCTCTATCAATCGCCCAAATCTGGCCGAAACTCAGTCTTATATCCAACCTGACATGTCATGTCTGCCGGTGCCGAACTTGATGGTGTCCAAAAATATCACAATGAACTCAGCTATGAAGCCTATCACATCACAAACCTTGGTTCTTCCACCACTCGGATCCTTACCATCCGCAAACAGCAGAACACCATCAAGTATGTACGTCGCAAATCCAACAACACCATCTTGGGCACCTCCCTCATCATTTAACAATCCCGGTGTTCCATTCACATCACAACATAACTACTCCACACCATCTCGTCATGCCAGTCCTCACTGTGCAACAGCACTCCAGGATCTACGCTCCTATAATACTTCACCAAACAATTCAAAATTTTCTACTCATCCAGGGCACATCTCACCATCAATTTTCCTCCAGCAGCGCTCAAGTCCCTACAAACCCATCCGCAACGTTCAAACTCTCCTTTATCCGCCATCATTTGGCTCATCTCAAGAAAACTTTGTCTGCGCCGAAGAAATGAGGTATAGACCTCTCGGAAAGAAAAATGAAAATATTCGCTCGGGAGTTGTTCCGCATTGGCCCGTTCAGATTCAGTCACAATTTCGTTGAAAGCATAGTTTGGTACGGAGTTGTCGGACACGAAGGTATAAATGATTGGTAAAATAGCACGGCTGTACTATTATTTTTGTTTAAACTTGGAAGGAGTTTGCTACCATAGAAAGTGGTTTGCGAGTACGGTATGGAACGGTGTTAAGGTTGTGTGCATCGATGTGAATTTGCTCGATTGCTCGGATGTAAACGAACTCAATGGGCGGATTAATGGCTGAGCCTGACACAGTTAGATTGAAAGCAAGCGATTTTGTTGCCAGGGGTGCTTTCTGAAATGATTAGACATAGGGTAGGAGCCAATAATATGAGGGATCATGAGTAATAACTGGCTTATACGATACCTCTGGGAATAGTGGTTACACGATCAGAATAGTAATAGAGATCTACTCTTGCTTACCAAAATCAGACCTCTTTGCAATTTAAAATCTTTACCAGTAGTTGCCTTAGCAAGAAAGATTTTTATTTATACGTGAGCTTCGAACATCCTAATGAGGGACAAGATGGTCATTTTGTCTAAGGACATGAATAAGAGGGGATATGAGGTCTGCTATCGGCTCGGCCTTTGACAACGTCAAATTTAGACAAAGAATTCACATTGGTTAATTAATATTCTAAAGCTCTACGCTTATTACTAAGTTGATGACGACGCACAATGAGCAGTCGCCGGTATTCCTCAATCTACCAAGTACTTTAGATGTTGATGGCTGGGCGGCAAATATTGAAATGCAGCAGAATTAGATGATGACGATATAAGTGATGAAGAGAATCTTCGTGGGTTTAAGCCATGTTTAGATAAGAAAGCGTGCAGTACCTGGTGAAAGTGTCGAGAAGCTGAAGTCAGAGGATCACCTCTTCTGTACATGTGCTGAATCAAAAAAGCCGAAGCCTGCAGCAGCCAATTTTGGACTCGGGAGAGATGGATTCGGCACCAGACTATTGGCTAGGCCGAGTTTTTTGGGCTAGGCGAAGACCGTCTGGGCGAGGTGGTCGCCGCGCACATGGGCCTGCACAGCGCCAGCCGGAAAATCGGGACAGCGGATGGTGCAAGTTGGTAGCGGAATCTCACCCAGCTGTTGCGCATCGCTGGCCCAGGAATTTCCATGATTGCCGCTCACCGCCTTTTTATGCTAACCACACGGCTCTGGCCACTTGCGCAGATTTGCCAGGGTCGGGCCGAGACTTGCTTGCACAGCTGCATCGGTCTCATACTATGATCTTTACATGTTGGCAATAAGCCAGATGTAACCGGAATCGTTGTACTATCTTCACGTGGAAAGAACCTTATGCCCTTACAAACACTTATACGCTAGCTTTCATTCGATAATTCCAGGATGGACACGGCTAAACCTCGCTCGTTAGCGATCATCAAAGGCAAATCTCAGAACTTTTGGCAATTCAAGCACGCATTCATAGTACTATGTACAAGTATCGCGTAAAGCGTATCTAGGGTCTTGCTGTAGTCGCAGTAGCCATGTCTTCTGTCGAGTGGATAGGTACTCGAGCCATGCAGGCTCTCCTTGGGAGAGTATGCTAGAAGCTATACCAATGCACCACTCAACTCAGCTGTAGATCGCGAACATCTGCAAGGATTCCAGCAAATCCGCTAATCGACCCCTGACCGAATCAAGCCTTAGGCCATCAACCTCAAATTTCGGTTCCATAACATGCATCAAGGGCCGTGGAATTCATCAACTCTCCGCAGATAAGAGTTTCTCATCGCGGCCCGGCCCTTTCTCCCAATCTACTCTTGTCTCTTTGTAGATGTGCGGGTTGTGCTTCCTCGTATGCTACTCACATGAATGTCGACGCTGAGGTCGGGGCCGTATCAGTGTCCGTCTGGTGTACGGAGCACTCCATCGCTCCTGTCCCGATAAGCAATTGGACCAAGACGGCCAGGTCGGACGGTGTAAAGTTTAGCCGTCTGAGCTGCTCTCTTATCTAGTAAGTATAGTGATGATACCTATCGAATTTGAGATAGAAGATAGCAGGTTTGAATCCTGCAAGGCTTTACATATCTAGCAATGCTGATGTGCATACAGTCTCTTATGGGTGGCAAAGGTAAAATTGTCCAAATGACTGGGGTTAGATCCCTGTACATATTGCCTTCATTGGTATGATCTTCATGCAGGCCCATGTCTAGTTACTCGACTAGTTGTGCAAGCAAGGGGTACTATCGAATGACATTCCGTGAAAGTCTAAATTATGGGGATGGTTTTGAACTCAATGGGAAAAGTACAATAGTCCTCTGTTGAAACTCATAATGAAAAAAGTCAGTTGATATTCTCTAAAAATGCACATCTATTTCAAAAATTATTGCTCTTTATTACAAAAGTCTACATCGAAGCCCTCAGTATGGCTCGCAACTGAAATGAAAGCGTTCTACATGTTTTGTGTGTCTTCTCCATCCTAATACTTTGTGTATCCTCCATTTGCCTTTATCACTGCTACACATCTTTCGTGCATGCTGCCAACTAGTGACAATAGCTCGTCAGAAGGTATAGACTACTATGTGACCTGTAGCAATGTCTTCAACATGGCAGAGCGCACAAGCCTGACCCCATTTTTCTCTGGACTATTTACCTGAATGTGGTTTTTTAAGATGTTCCATAATGACTCAATTGGGTTCATGTCCGGAGATTAAAGTGGCCATCTCATAGGCGTTATTCCAACCTCACGTAGTGCCTTAGTCATTGAGTGTGCTTTATGACATGGTGCGTTGTTGTGCATGTATAGAATTTCTAGATTTTCCATGTGAAATTGATTCAAAAGTGGCAAAATCCTTTCACAAAAGGATGAGGACCTCATTGATCCCCAATCCTTCTCCCAGACTAGGAATGGGCCTTTTTGTGATCCGTAAAATGATCCCCAAAACATCCAGCTGTTCCCATGAGTATGGCGAGCCACAATACAAGTCTCATCAAACTCATCATCAGGCTAAACTCTGCTGTTAGTACAAGGAAGATTTAGATAGAATTTAAACGTACTTTTCTTGTGACACGAGGTTTCATATGACAATCACCCGATACCCAGGTTTCATCAGTCCATAATATGCGACTCTATAGTTCATCGCTCCAATCTAAATGTAATTGGGCGAGCTCCAATCTTTTCTGCTTGTTCACTGCGCTTAACGGAGGCTTCTTCCGAGCAATGCATCTGCTGTAACCTCTTTTTTTGAGTGTATTAGAAATTGGACGTTCACTGCATTCCCAGTGGCTGAAGGGCCCCATAGCTAGTTCCAAATAGCACATCTGTCGATTTTCAGGAGACTCCCGGACAAATACTTCAAGGTCATCAACTTGTTCCGCGCTTAATTTTGGTAAGGGTCCTTTGCGAGACATAGAATTCTCAGTCTCTCGAGCACACGCAAATTGCACTTGCCTTCTTGTGAAGCTGAGTTCGTCGGATATATGTTGTAATGTCAAGCCAAGTCTTCTTAATGCTCTAATTTCTATACATTGATCGCGAGTTAGATGCTTGCGAACTCTAGTTTCTGAAGCAGACTTTTCGAGAGACATTGTTTGCTAGAATAGAGGATGAATTGATAGTGGTGAGAAGTTTCAGTGGCTGTATGGGCTTGGCAGCCAAAAATGTCATTGAAAATGTGTTTTACTGAGCGATAATTAGAAGAAGACGATTGGACCATACTTCATGGCGAGCGGGGTAAGGAGGAGAGACATACTAACCTATTACGAGCTAGCCCAACTGCGCCTACAGGGCTAATCCCTTCAACGACCCAGTTTGAAGTTTTACCTTTTGGAACCTAGAGGCACTGTAGATGACTACAGTCTCTTAAGGATGCTAATTGTACAATTGTCAAAATGACTGGGGTTAGATCCCTGTACATAATACCTTAATTGGTATGGTCTTCATACAGGCTCATGTCTAGTTACTAGACTAGTTATGCAAGCAAGGGGTAATATCCAATGATATTCCGTGAAAGTCTAAAATATGGGGATGGTTTTCAACTCTAAAAGAACTGTACAATGGCCCTCATTTAAAATTTAAAATTAAAAAAAATCAATTAATATTATCTAGAAATACATATGAATTAGAAGGATAATTGCTCTCTTTGACAAATATATACATCGAAGCCGGATTGGATGGTGCAGTGGTACACCGACTTGGTCGTTCTCCCAAATAGGTGCTGGGTAGCCTGGTAACCTGCCCCATTCGAGACAGGAGAAATCTGGTTCGAGTCCAGTAAAATCCACACACCACTCTCTCTCTCGCGGTGATGTTGTACTTGTGGGATGATGAAATCACACTGGGACAGCCATAGGTTTTCACGATTTTCCCTGTGGTGGTTGTGCACGGAAGAGGTTATACGCCGTAAGGGTTAACCTTGAGTGGTATGTGCAAATAAAATCTGAGTGTGAGAGTTCTAAGTGTCAAATTGTGTCATCCTACTTAAAGCACATATCTTCCGGTAAAAACCTGCATGGGCCTCAAGGCGCCAAATCAAGAAAATGAATTATATGTATATACACCGAACCCCTCAGTACGGCTCGCAACTAAAATGAAAGCGTACTACATATTTTGTATTAGTCTGCTCCATCCCAATATTTTGTGTACCCTCCATTTTTCTTTATCGCCGCTATACATCTTTCGCGCATGTTAACCACACTTAATAGAGGCTTCTTCCGAGCAATGCGTCTGCTGTAACCTCTTTTTTTGGATGCATAAGAAATTAAACGTTCACTGCATCTCTAGTGGCTGAAGGGACCCATTGCTAGTTCCATATAGCACATCTGTCGATTTTCAGGAGATTCCCGGACGAAAGCCTCAAGCTCATCAACTTGCTCTGCGCTTAGTTTAGGTGGGCATCTTTTGCGAGGCTTATGGTTCTCAGTCTCTCGAGCACATGCAAATTGTACTTGCCTTCTTGTGAAGCCAAGTTCGTCGGATATATTTTGTAATGTCAAGCCAAGTCTTCTTAATGTTCTTATTTCAGTACAGTGATCGCGAGTTAGATGCTTGCCAACTTTGGTTTCTGAAGCAGA